GAACCGTGTCCTCTTGACCAGCTTGCGGTACTTGTGGTGGTTCATTTTTCGCCGGCGGATCTTCAGCACGTTTTTGCACTGCATGTGAGGGGCATCCCAGATACCCTCATGCCCCTGCCTAGCCTCCCCCTTCACCTGACTGGGTGGACACTGATAGTGCTGAGTGGGAGCAGCGGATACTAGAACCCCAGTATCCAGTCTGGGCAAGAGGTAGCGGGCAGTCATCCAGCTCTCCAGAGGGCTGATGGACATCTTCCTGGGCACCAGCAATTCCTCAAGCTCCAACTGGGACCCCTTGCCAGGAAGAGACACAGCCCTACTTTGGCCAGTGGGTTGCAAGGTGTATGGTGGCCGGCAGGCATGGCTGCTCAGCACCCCTGAGACAGGCCACAGCTGACTGCAACCTGCAAGAAACAATGTAGCATAGTTACCATTGGTGAGGTGACACTAGACAGGAGCACTGCAACCACCCAGGCCTGGGCAGCAAGTCCACCCCAGGCCCAGAATGGATGACCTGCACCTTATTCCTGTTCCAAACCCCAGTGATGTTCTCACAGGAAGCCTATGGCCACATCCTACCTCCAGCTGAGGGTGAGCTGGGCCGCTGTGACAAACGCGTTCCTAACCCAGGCACGTATCCCAACCCCCAGGGCTCTTACCTGCCCAGGGAAGGGACCTGACCAGCTGAAATGTCAGGCGCTGCAGGAACATGGTCTGTGGGAGGCGGCGGCCCCAGGTGCTCAGGGGAGCTGGAACACAGGCGGCTGCTGGGGTCAAGCGCGAGCCGCGGACGGGGCAGGCCGCGCAAATCCCGCTTCCCAGCACTCTGGGTCCCTCTGGCCCGCAACGAGGAGTCGCCTTCACAAGCCGCTGGCCCCTCGGACGTCCAGAATCCGGATCGAACCCCGCCTCCGCCACTCCGGCTAGCCGCCCTCCCCCCGCAACCTCAGTTCCCGCGGGCACCCAAGCCAACAGCACGGGGCGATCAACGTCCGAACGAACCGAAGGGCCCAGGCCTGGGAGCACGGCCCCGCCGGAGCCTCGCGACCTCAGAGGTTGTGACCCCGGCGGCTCGAACAGACTATTTCACCGCCGCGCTCGGCACTTCCGGTCCGTTGCCAAACCGGCTCCCCGGTGGGTCCAAGGCCCAGGTGCCCCTGGCGACCTCCCGGCGCCGGAGTTCGCGGCGGCAAAGGCCCGACGGGGCTCAGTAGGCGAAGACTTCCGGTTCGAAGGGCCGCCCTGGAGCATACGTCAGTTCCGCCTCGTCCCAGCGGAAGGAAACTACACTTCCTACGCCGGGGTGTCTACAGAGCATGCGCCGCCTCATGGCGCCCCCGGATTCGCCCTGGCTCGGGTTCTCTGCGGCGGGCGCAAGGCTGCGGCGACGGAAATGCCACACTGTGAGCGACGGAAGTGGCTAGGGCTGCTTTTGTTCGGGCGGAGCTCCCTCCGGAGTTGGGGACCAGCTGTGGGCGAGATGGGACTAGTGGAACCAGCGGTAACTCGGTCGAAGCTGCCGCCGCCCGGACACTGGGAACCGGGGGCCCTTTCTTAACTGGCAGCTCCCGCTGCCCCTAGGGCTTGACAGACTCCTTTTCCTTTGTGCATCTAATGCGTCCGCAAGGAAGCTCCGAAGGAAAAATCAGACCATAAGCCAAAAGCAAGTTCTGCAGGATTGGTTTTGGCTGACACCTTAACGTTGCTCCAGCGCACGGGCTGCCAGGCCACCACTTCATCTACCTCAACAAAGGCCTGCTGGCTAGCATGGATCCCGCAGTGAACCTGCAGAGGCGGCTGGTGCTGAGGCTGGCCTTGCTGCAGGGACGTCTAGGGATTCTTAGCAGGAAGAGCCAAGCAGGTCTTCCCCAGGCACCATCCTGGCTAAGGAGCGAGTGGCAGGGAAGATAGGCCAGTGAGGACAGAAACTGCAGGCGCCAGGTCCAGCTCTGTAACTGAGGTTACAAAACAACACAGGTTCCTGCCTCCTAGAGGAGTTGCCCAGGACTCCCAAGCAGGAAGATTTTGACCACGTTTGGGAACCCACCCCTCACCTCAGTCACACAGCATATCCTAGTAACTGGTCTTGTCACAAAGGACAGGTTGGTGCCCTCAACTCCAGTCCTCACCTTGGTGTGGACTTCCTTCACCTAACCAGGGTCCAGGAAGATGCAGAAAACCAGGTCATCAATGTTAATAACAGTCCGGTCATCAATGTTAATAACAGTCCAGGCAAGGGCAAAAAGAATCTGGGGGTCGGCAACCTTGGCCTCCAAACTTCTGAGGAGTTGGGCTGTAGATAAGAGTACCTCCGGAGAGGCAGGGACTAATGGGAGAGACAGTGCAAGAGCTCCAGTCTGTGAGTCTTGAGGAGGCTGGATGAGGCCAGAGGACCCACTTTCCCCATCTCAGGAACCAGCCAGGCTCCAGCTTTCAGCCAAGCTTGTGAGGGTTCCTGTACCATAGCAGACCCCAGGCCAAAAGGGAAGGGGTTCACCTGCAGCAGAGAAGCTAGCTGCTTGGTCACCTTGGCCATGCAGCACATGCAGGGCTGGGACATCCTCAGTCACAGGTGATGCTAATGCCTCCCCCACCCCACCCCACAAAATGCCCTTGCCAGATCTGACTGGCTGCTTCCCACAACAGTGGCAGAACACTTGTAGGGATGTGAACAGCCCCTGCCAAGCTAGAGGTGCTAGAACCTGACTAGGGAGATCAATTTTTCATAAAGATTGGAAATGAGAGGATTGGTGTGTATGTGCTGTTTTCTAATTTTTATTGTGTGGCATTGGGGACTAACCCAGGCAAGCATTCTACCACTGAGCTATATTGCCAGGTGTCTCTACAGCCAACATTAAGTTGCCAACACAATTTTCATTGTGGTGTCATGTCAGGTTTCACTAAGTTGCCCAGGCTTCCTTCAAACTTGCAATCCTCCTGCTTCAATTCCTACATTATAGCTAAGATTACAGGCACGTGCCATCAGGTCTAACTTCTAATTTTGTATGTGTGTGTGTGTGTGTGTTTGTTTTAATCAATGGAACTCTTTAGTCTCAATTACTGCATGCATTTCTTTTCCCCAAAATACCCATTTGCCTTCAGGAAAAGGTTTTCTTCAGAACTTTTGTAGAAATTTTGCAGTTCTGGCTTGGAGGCTGGAAAGGCATCAATGCCGGTGGCTGAGGGTAGGCCAGGCTGGGGCTTACGCTGTAGCCTGAGCTGAGTAGCCTGAGCTGAGTAGCCTGAGCTGAGTAGCCCTAAAGTCCTGGGCTACAGAAACCTAAACCAGGCAAAGTGCCTGCTGCCTCGCCACAGCCCTGCAGTGGAGTGCTGCAGTCAGCTCATGCCAGATCCCACCACAACAGCTAGCTGTTCATTTTCACTTTTATACCCTGCTTTTAACATAGCATTATCCAACAAACTGTAACAAAAGGGAAATACAGGGCATATTGCTTCCTAGTTGTGTACTTTTCTTTTTTTCTTTTTTATTTTTTTGGTAACAGAGTTTGAACTCAGGGGCACTCAACCACTGAGCCACATCCCCAGTATTATTTTGTATTTTATTTAGAGAGAAGGTTTCACTGAGTTGCTTAGCACCTCACTTTTACTGAGGCTGGCTTTGAACTTGCAATCCTCCTGTCTCAGCCTCCCAAGCCACTGCAATTACAGGCATAAGCCACCACACCTGGCATAGTTGTATACTTTTATCTATAACCATAAGATCATTTGAGTATTAAAAATAGTCATGGAAACACTGTAGAGTAGCTACTTCATTAAATAAAACTGTGTTGGCAAGTTAAAAATCAGCCATGGAGTCACCTATTGATCTTTACCAGCATCCCTCAGTATAACTCTGTACCGGTATCAGTATAGTACAGTTGCTCAGTGGCAGGTATCAATAGAAGCAAAGCAGAAGCAGTGGTCTCTTTATCCCATGCTGCATGGACTCCTCACAGGATGAGGGAAAAGTTGGCCCCACAGTCTCACCAGGCAGGGCCACCAGGATGAACCATCCTAAGTAGCCAGAGCTCACACATCCCTGGCTGGCTACATGATGGACCACTGTGTTGGCCTTGCTAAGGTCCAGGGCCATGAACAGGTGCCAGTGTGCCCTGGGGAGGGGCAGGGAATCTCCAGAAACCCAGCATGTTGTAAGGCTTGCAAAATGCACCCCAAGCTTACTCCAAGCCCCAGCACTTCCTCTCAGCACTGGGGCTGCTGAGAGTCCCAATGGATGATGTCTTGTGCCCTTGCTGCTGAGCCCAGAAGGGGGCCTTGGGCAGCAGCTGAGGAAGGAGGTTGAAGCTGTGGCCATGTCTTACAGCTGCAACACTCAACATGCTCCCTGGAGGGTCAGAATGAGGCTTGAGTATCAGGTTCATGATATGCTGGAGTGGACATAGCTCAGGCACCAGAGTAGCCACATGCTTACCAGACAGTGCAGAGGTGCTATCTGCCATTGCCAGGCAATCACAGAGGCCTAGGCTGGCAGGAACACCACACATCCTTCCTCTCAGATACCTGTGGGGCTGTCCTTATCTATGGAATCTCAACCTCTCTGGTGCTTAATTGAGGTGCTGGTTTAGGAAGGTAATCACTGACAGAAGAGCCAAAACCAGATAAATGACAGGCCCAGGTGAGACATGGCACCATCCACCTCAGGAACAGGAAACAGCTCCAGGCCTAATCTCATCTGCCCAATGGCCCTGCACATGGCAAGGCCCAGCTCTGGGGACACCTGCCAGATGCCTGCTTCTGGTTATCCTGTGCTGAGATATGCTCCAGGGCCCTTCAGTACTTTCTTGTCTTTACCTCTTCCCTCCTACAACCCTCCAAAAGCAGCCTTTCAAAGGGCAAATGGTTTCAGGAGGTGCAAGGGGGCTTACTACAAAATCCAACACTTTAATGACAGCAGGGAGCAGGGATGGTAGCTCAGACGTGCCACAGCAGCTCACAAGCAAGCAGAATAACAACCTAGAAAGCCTGTAACATCCCAAGCATCCTGAGAAGAAAACTGTTTATTCAACCACGTAAAATGCATATATAGGAAACTTCTCTATTTGGGAGCTGGTGGCCAGCACACAGCATTGCACAGATAAAAATATACGACTTTCAACACAGACCTAAATACCTTCACATTTTAAAAATCAGAATTCTCTACACAAGTTTTAAGCTGGCAGAATTCCAGTTCTGAGTTTTCATACATAGTTTTCCTTGTATTAAACACATGTTTATTTACAACGTGGATAGAGAATAAAGGGCTATTAAGGCCATTTTCTCATTGTGAAACACCACAAAATATGTACATAAGTACAACCTAATATAGGCAAAGGTTCTAAAAATCATCTTTCTTGGCTTAACGTAATTGAGCATCAGTACAGGAGTGAAGGAACAGCTTGTCGATAGCACCCAGCCACGCCAACAGGATGTGTGCCTCTGCTTTCCCAAGGAGCCGCCCACAGGGCTCAGCTGAGGAGGACCTCACCTGGGACAGGTGTGTGCCATGCCCCAGGCCACCCTAAGGGGACCTTGCCACCCCCTCAAATCCATTTCCAAATGCATCTCAAGGTCCAGAGTCAAAAAAGTTTTCCAAAAACTATCATGGCCACAGGGCCACTTGAGCCACATGTGCCCCATGGGAGGATCCAGGACACCCATGCAGGACCCACCTCACCTCCGATGCCTGCTGTGTCCCGGGTGGTCCCGCTCATAGCGATGGCCTGTGCGTTCATATGACCTTGAACGCTCCCGCCGCTGATCTCTATAGTAATGACTTTTCTTCTTATATTTTCCAGAATTATCTGCCCGTTCCCGTGAGCGGCTTCGAGATCGGGATGAGCTCCGACTCCGGGATTTGTGTGGCTTCTGGGTGGGGTACTTGCAATCCTTGGATTTCCGGGAGCCCCTCATCTCAGAGCCTTTGTAGGGAGCACCTCGGTGTGCTTGCCTTGGCGGGGAGTCACTCCGGCTCCGAGAGCGGCTCTGTGACTTGGACCCGCCAGACGTAGAGCCACTGTCGCTTTTTCTGTGAGGAAGGACAACACACCTGGGACCACATGCGTGAGTGCCTGTCCCAGCCAGGCCGGGACACACCCACAGGGGCAGACCATCCCCTCCTACCACCCTGGGGAAACACCCATCATCACCAGACCCACAGGCAAGCCCCAGGCACGCACCTCCTCTTGGGAGAAGCAGACCGTGATGGGGACCTTGAGTAACTCTGCTCACGGCTCCTGCTCCGGCTCTGGCTCTCTCGTGCCTTTGGCAAGCTGCAGACAGGAGTGGAGCAGTTACACACCAACAGTGTCTCCACCCCCACACCTGGCGCGACCACCTGAGCGGCTCTGGGTGCCTCACCCGTTCACGGGGCTGTCGGCCTCGGCTTTCTTCCTGCCCTCCACTTTTCTCTTGGCATTCTTCACAGACAATGGGGAAGGCTTGCTTCCTTTACCTTCTTTGGGGGATTCTACCAAATCAATTTTAAGTTAAAAACCAACAGAGAACTGTGCCAGTAAGAAACCCATTAGCAGAGAAAGAAAAGGCCACTTCTGTGGGGTGACAGACACACACACTGATTCTAACTTCCAGCATGGACTCAGAAATTAAGCAGGCACCAGGAAGACGCAGAAGGCCCTTTGTCTAGGTTCTTCCTTAGGGACGAGGCAGTGAGCACCACTCTTATCTCTAGGGCCTGGTAACATGATCTATGTCATAGAGTATACAATTTTTCATCAAATGACAAGCTAACTGGGTAGGCAGAGTAAACCAAAGCATTTCAGAAAGGCTGTCTGCCCATTTTGCTTGCTAACAAAAACATAAACACAAAACCCTTCAGGGTCCCCATCTGATTTTATTTAAAAAATATTTTTTAGTTGTAGTTGGACATAATACCTTTATTTATTTGTATGTGGTGCTGAGGATCGAACCCAGGGCCTCGCACGTGCTAGGCGAGCACTCTACTATTGAGCCACAACCCCAGTCCCCCATCTCATTTTAGATATCACCAATGGTCAGTCAGGGATTCCAGCACTTCTGTAGCCCAGACCCACCACAGGCTCAATTCCCAGGATGAAGGCCCAGGAGGGTCACCAGCTCCACCCTTGCAGCAGCATATGACCTGACATACTCACCCAGCTTGGGGGCAGGTGAGAACCCTGTAGCGCTGTCCGTTACTGGGGCTCCCCCAGGCAGCAGGCCCCTGGCCTGCGCCTTTGCCTCTTCAATAGCATGCTTTCTCTTTTCCACTTCACTTTCCAAGAGTGTTAAGTCGACCTGAAAAGCCATAATCCCTTTATTCAGAACCAGATGCTTTTAACCAAACACAGATGAACATTACATAAAAATATCCAAAAGAACCTTTTTCCGTGTGTAAAGCTGCAGGATTTTTAAGCAGATTTCTTGAATTTCTTCTTCAGTTGCTCCAAACAAAAGAAACCAGTGGGGACGATTGGGCAAAGGGATCTGTGAACACAAACACCATCAGATCACATTTTCTCAGCAACTTCAAGGCCAAAAAAACTCTTAAAGCAGCTAAGAACAACCTGCTGCAGCAAGCAGCTCTAGATTGAGCAACTTAGCAGGTAAACAAATGTCACCACAAGTGGAGAGAGCCATGCCGTGCAGCAGAGCACTGACCTCTAGCGTCCGGGCAGCGAGGTAGATGCAGGCACAGGCGATGCTTTCAGGCTGGAACCGCACGAAGACATCTGTGCGAAGACTGTCGTTCATGTAGTTCCTGAAACCAAGGCACAGCAAGAGTTGTGGACCCTGGCAACCACAGCACCGTCTGCATTACCTAAGGTAGCTACACCTCTACGTGGTCTACTGCTAGGACTGAGACCTAGACAGTCCTGTGAATCCCAGGAGTTAATGGAGAAACATTTTAGCTGCTTTTTCTGAATACAGGACAGAAAGAGAAATTACTGGGGGGAAAAAAGCTGGCTGAATGTCAGAAATACGGGCTGCTATGAACGAGAACCGACTTTAACTTCACTTTTCCCTCAGCTTTTGGCCTGCTATCATGCAAAGCACAATGCCTCAGAAAGAAAACACTACTTAGTGGTTAAAATGTATTTGATTAAAGAAATCTAAATGCTCAAAATCCATAGTGCAGAGAAACATGCAAACTCAAATGAACAGGCTGAGCACGAAGCCTCGCAGCTGAGACAAGCTGTCCTGTGTTCCTTTTCTGCGGAGAGTGCTTGCGGCCTGGTCCTTCTCCAGATAACCGAGCCACAGCTTCCACGAAGGAGTCCACTTGCATAAGGGAAAGGCCCTTGGTGCAGTTCAGGTGTATGGGAACGTCATGCAGGAGGCCAATGCCCGAGGGAGTCCTCTTCTCGGGCTTACCAAAGAACGTTTCCAAACTGTCCCATTTCAACAAGGAGTCTTAAAATGAACATTCATAAAATCAGACAGCAGCAACAAAATACTAAAAAATACTTAAAGTTTCAACACAGTAAGTACATTCTTAAAACTTTATCATACTTTAGAAAATATAAAAAAAATACAAAACTTTGCATAAAACTGACTATATTTTTAATGTTTTCCTTTAGGTATATTTCTCAAAAACTTATAGACTAAAATCAAACCAAATACTGGTTTTATTAATATTGCAGAAACAAGTAATTCCATGAGAAAACAGTTGAAGAGGTCATACATTCACTGCCCAACATGCTCAGATAATGGCACAGGTGCACCACAGGCAGGAGACTTGAGGGATACCACCCGATATCTTTCCCCTAAATAAACCCAGAGTAGGTAACATCCAAACCCATTCAGATGCTAAACAATAAATTCCACAGATGCCTACAAGAGGCGGCTGGTCTGGAGGAGCTGGCTCCAGTGTTCAATAGGGAAGGCAGTGTGGTGGCAGTGTAGCCACTGGTCCAAGAGCCACTGTGGGTAAACAGCCCAGATGTTGGCAAAACATTTTGTTTCTAATAACAAATTTCAGTATTCAAACAATAAATAACATTATTCCATTAACTTTTAAGTTCTAAAAACAAATGAAACCCTCAAAACATATAAACTTATTGCTATATTTGAAATAATTTACAACATTTTTGTAAAGAGTCCAAGGAGTAATTTAAAGATGCACACCTTTACTGAAGGGAGCCCAGCTGAGCTGCTGCAACGAGCAACATCAGGGCCTGGAGAAGTAATGGTACAATCCCACACCAACAGCCTCAATTCCCATCGGCCAATTGTCATTTCAGCTCTTACAGCTTCCCACAGATGTTTTAGAGAAAGGTACTGCATCTTTATTGTACAGGTACAGCAGTTTTAAGGGGACAAAGCCCAAGTCAAGACATTACCAACTCTAATCGATACAATTACCAAAGCACGACAGGATCAACAAGAAGCACAATCGTCAGAGAACCACAAGCAGCAGTCGGCCATGACTATACTATCGTACGCATACCACCAGTCTAGAGCCAGCCTTCGGTGGAGAGCCTGCACTGGGTTGGCTGGAGACGGCCGCTGTCCCTGCACCAAAGCGCTTGGACAGCAGAGGAGAAGTCTTAGTCACTTACCCTCAGAGGCTACCCTTTGATTGAAAGAGTACAGAAAAGAAAAGTCAAAATGGGTTCTCTGCAAAGCAGTCACAGCACCAGACAATTCAGTCAGCAATATGACCCTATAGACTTAACTCTGTGGGGGAAAAGGGCCAGAACACCCCAAAAATCAAACTGATACTTCAGGCTTCATTTCTAGCCTATACCTATTAGAACCAGCCCAAAATTCTTACAAAACTTCATCCCCACTTTCTCCCACAGGATGCAGCTCCCAGGAAATTTCCTGTGCCCAGTCAATGGCTCCCAGGGGAAGCCCACTGACTGCTCTCTTCAAGGCAGGGAACTTAGGGAATCCAGGGGCAGGGATGGGCCACCTACCGTTACACCAGTGCCTGTCATTTTGGGAGGCTGCCAGGCATTTACACGGCAGATCACTGGGCACGGGGACAACTCCAGCCCACAACCAAGTCATGGGACCGACTACCCACTGCCCAAGTGCCTCAAGTAAACATTCCTGCACTGCCCTTGCTGGTCTCGTGAGACAAGGAAGGTCAACTCACCATGCGGTCTGGACCAGGTGTTGGTTACGCTCACATTCTAACACCTGAAGGTACATAACGATTATCTGGAAGATATGGGTCAGGCAGTTATTACCAAGAACCTCACGAGAAGAGAACTCAGATCTTGTGGATATCCATGCAGCAAAAGAACCTCAATCTAGATCCCAGGGATGGCTCCTGGTCACGTCCGGCAAATGGCTCAGCTGGAGGGGAGCTCCTGCAGGTGCACCTGCTACCTGCTTCTGCAGCAGGGCAGCATGTATGCACCTCAGGACGAGCCACACCCTGTGGCACAGAAGGCTGTGCCTCTCTCGTGGCCCATGTTCATTCTCATCGCCACAACTTTTCCGCAAACGAGACTGGCCTGCCCTAAACATCAGTGTGCCCCAGCAGCGAACATACAGAGCAGGACACAAAATAATTCCAGCAAGTGAAGAAAAGCATTTAAGTCCTTGGTAGATAATTTACCAAGAATCTGAATAAATGTCAGAAAATCAAACACTCAAGAGAGAAACTACAATGAAATTCACCAATGAAAATTGGTAAGACTGAAAGTATAAACAGTAATCTTTCTTTGTTTGCTTTGAGGGGAAGGGTACCAGGGATTGAACCTAGGGGCACTCAGCTACTGAGCCACATCCCTAGTCCTATTTTGTATCTTATTTAGAGACAGGGTCTCACTGAGTTGCTTAGTGCCTCACCATTGCCGAGGCTGGCTTTGATCTCACAATTCTCCTGTCTCAACTTCCTGAGCCACTGGGATTACAGGCATGCGCCACCACACCCAGCCCTTTTTTATTTTTATCTTGAGACAGGGTCGCATTAAGTTGCTTAGGGCCTCACTATGTAACTGAGGCTGTCATCCTCCTGCCTCAGCCTTCCAAGCTGCTGGGATCACAGGCACGCGCAATGGTAATCTTTTTAAACAATTTTTGTTTGTTTGTTTAGTACATGAAATGCCTACAGTGCTTTGATTAAACTTAAAATACAACAGCATGCTCCCTAACCAACCAATGCAGGTCGCAAAACTTGAAGTTCATCTTAAAGCAAAAAGGTTCAGAATTCTTCCCATTCTCCCATAAAAGAAAGTGAGGCTATTACTAAGGTGACTTTAGAAACCTAACTGTTCAGGAAAGAAAAATGGATGCTGACAAATTTTATTTCTACAAGTTCACCACTGTTTTTTTGAAAACCGAAACCTAAAAACCACAATTTCCAAAACTCTTTTAAAATGCAACTAGAATTAATAGCACAAGAAGGCTAATCACTTGCAAGGTTACAGCTATGACCTGGAAAACTGAGTCAGGGACATAGGTCATCTCCAGGGCTTTCAGCCTCAGAGACATGGGGGGTGAAAACCACCTTATACCCACCTTGTGAGGGTGCTTCACGTGGACACAGAAGCCCAGCTCCTTGAGGACTCGCCTTTCTGCCTTTATGATCTGGTTCTTCAAGTTGACATAATCTTGATCCAAAAGAAGAGGCACAGGCTTCCTGCAAGGACAAAGAACATGGCCACATAAAGATCAGACAAAATAAGATGTTCTGGGGTTGCACCTGTGGCTCAGTGGTAGAACACTTGTCTTGCACAAGTGAGGCCACAGGTTGATCCCAGCACTGCAAAAACAAAAAACCTCAGAAAAACAAAAAAGCAACACCTTTCAGGGTACACTATCACCTCCAAGAGGGAGGAATCTAATATAAACATCACCACACAAGACACTAGATGAAGACTCACTTCCTTTAACAAAATTATAGAACAGGCTTCCAACTCCAGAGCCAACCTACTTATCCCTTCTCTACAACCTGCCCCATCCTGGTTGATAAAAGGCATTCTGGTGCATACACAAACACTGCCTGAATGCCACGAGGTCTAAAGATCTCATTGCACAGACATTAAAAGTTAAGAGCTCAGTGGTACATGCCTGCAATACCAGCAAACTGAAAGCTGAGGAAGGAAAATCACGAGTTCAAGGTCTCACTTAGTGAGATCCTGTGTCAAAACAAAACATAAAAAAGGACTGGGGAGGGCTGGAGTTGTAGTTCAGTGGTAGAGCGCTTGCCTAGCATGTGTGAGGTGCTGGGTTTGATTCTAACACCACATATAAATAAAATAAAGGCACACTGACAACTAATAAAATATTGGGGGCTGGGAATATAGCTCACTTGGCACAGTGCTTGCCTTGCCAAGGCCCTGGATTCAATACCCAGCACACACACACACACACAAAAAAAAAAAAAAAAAAAAAAAAAAACCCGACAACTAAAAAAATATTAAAAAAAAAAAAAAGGACTGGGATGTAGTTCCGTGTTAGAGCACCCTGGGGTTCAATCCCCAGATGCTGACAGTGGTGAAGACAAGTCCCTGCTCTGGAGCACTCAGGGCCACACAAGAGACAACACATCACAGCTGTGAACTGAGGAGGGCCCTCCTCCATCCCTTAGGGGATCCTGGCTGATGGGAGCACACGAGCAATCATCCACAAGGACACAGCCTCCCATCTGGAACTGTCACAGAAACGGTAGTGACTGGACACTTGTGACAACTCTGAAAAGACTCACTTTTTTTCCCTCAGGTGTCGAAGGCGATGAAACACATTGATGACGTCCCTAATTCGTCTCGGAGCCTCTTCTATTTTGGAGGCCAGGTGCACACAGGCCATAGACACATGCTGAAAGGAAGCATGGAGACGCAGCGGTCTGTTCCCATCCTGAGGTCCGCCCAAGGCTGAGGGGCCGCACAGGGGCTTCCCGGGCCCAGGACGCGCCCACCCGGCAGGCGGCGCAGGCCGGAGGGGCGGGGGCCTACCTCCATGGAATGCTTCACGAAGGACTTGGTGTAAAAGAACCGCTGGAACAGCACCTGTCCCGTAGCCATGGCCACCTAGACGGGGAAGCTTCCGTCACTTTTGGACGCAGACTCCAGAGCTCCGCACTGAAAGTCACCCCGTCACGTGGGACTCCCCTCAGGGCCAGAAACTCAGCCCTCCTCCACGACCCAAAGGCTCCCGGCGGCCCGCGGTCTCGGCGCCCCGACCCTGGGGAGGCTCGCGGCCGGCTGGGGGCGGGGCCGGGGGTCTGGGCCGCGGCGCCGGGTCGGGCCCGGTTCCGGGCGGGGTGGGGGGTCCGGGACCGACGCAGCGCGGGCCGATCGGCCAACAAAGGCCCGGCCCCTCCGGGCCGGCGGTTACCGCGAGCCTCGCGGCCGCGCCCTCACCTGCGGCAGGCGGAGCAGGATGCCGGCCGCCTGGATGAGCTCGCAGCCCACCACGCGGAGACCGGTCTCCGTGTCGGTGTCGAGGCCGCTCGACATGGACGGCGTGAAGCGGAGCTTGTCGTCTGGCAGCAGGCAGTTCTCCAAGGTGATGAGCACGCCAGAGTACAGCCTGTCCCCGATCAGCACTCCTTGCGACCCGGGCGCGGCGCCCCCCGAGCTCGGGGTGCCGGCCGCCGTCCCGGGGACCGCCGACCCCGGAGCTCCGGCCGCCGCCGCCGCCGCCGCCGCCATTTTGTGCCGCCGACTCCTTTCGGGACCCTTCCCGGCAGGGCGGCTCCTCGCGACACTCAGGCCGCCCCGCCTAACCCCATGCAATTGGCTGTGATCGGTCGCTGCCTCATGGCTATTGGTTGCGTGAATTGCCCGTCAGCCTTACGTCAGGCGTCGACGCCGGAACTCGCGCGGGAGAAGCGGGCTCGTTACCCAGAACCCTCCACGGCCCGGCTCGACCCGGAAGCGAGTCTGCCTTGAGAGGCCAGACGCTCCTAGAGGCTTGGGTCAAGGGGCTTGCATCTCAGAAGCCTGTGGCGTCCAGGAGGCGGGTCTCGGTGGAAGCTGGGAAGGGACGACCCTTCCCCTGCAGTCTCCGGAACACGACGCTGTGCATGGAGCCGGTGCGAGTTAACACGGGGCGATTGCCTGGTAGTTAGTGCTCCACCCTACTGGCTTCGAGTTGGGGATGCACCTGTGGGTCCTGGACCTCACGGGTTCCTGTTTCAAACCTCAGCCCACGAGGAGGTGGACGGGTAACAGGGAACCGAACTTGTCGGATTTGATGACCCTGCAGAGCGCTTGGCGGCAGATGCAAGCACAGGGTAGCGGGGGGGGGGGGGGGGGGGAAAGAGGCGCGAGGTTCCAGCGCTGGGTGGGAAGGGACTTGCTTATTTGACCCTACAGAATTCGTGAAGCATTTGTCTTGACTCTTGATTCCCCAGGCCTTCGTGGGTCTGCTCAGCGCCGCTGTGGAGGGGCATCAGGTGTGTTAATTCCTGTTGTTACCCTGAGCTTTTCACCAGGTTTAGGCTTAGGAGACCGGTGGGGAAGCCCAGAGATGCTGGTTTAGACGTTGGGGGTAGATCGGAGGGTAGAATGTTCCTGGATGGGGTCAATTTGAGCTGCCTGTGACTACCTGAAACCGAGGCTCCCAATGGCTCTCGCCCAAATCCAAACGTGGGC